AAGCAGTAGGGTGCAGATGGGTTTATACCCTAAAATATAATTCTGATGGCACTCTTGAGAGATACAAGGCTCGATTAGTCGCCAAAGGTTACACTCAAACCTATGGCATTGATTATGAAGAAACCTTTGCTCCAGTTGCAAAAATGAATACAGTGAGAATCTTGTTGTCCCTTGCTGCCCATTACAATTGGGATATAAATCAATTTGATGTGAAAAATGCTTTCCTCAATGGTGAGTTAGAAGAAGAAGTCTACATGGAAATCCCGCCTGGTTTTGATTCTGTGAAGGGGGAAAATAAAGTTTGTCGATTAAAAAAGGCCTTGTATGGATTGAAGCAATCACCTCGTGCTTGGTTTGGGAGGTTTACTAAGGTTATGATGACCTTAAGATATAGACAGAGTCAAGGAGATCACACTCTTTTCTTCAAGCACTCCCAAAACGGGAAGCTTACTGTGCTCCTTGTATATGTTGATGATATTATTATCACAGGTAATGATTTTGTGGAGAGACAGATTCTGCAGACACGGCTTGCCTCTGAGTTCGAAGTCAAAGACCTTGGAAAACTGAGATATTTCCTAGGGATAGAAGTAGCTCATTCAAGCAAAGGAATTTTTATCAGCCAAAGGAAATATGTTCTTGATCTTCTCAAAGAAGCAGGAAAGCTCGGGTGTAAACCCTCTAATACTCCTATTGAGCAGAATCACAAGATGGGCTATGAAGAAGAGAGTCCTCCAGTTGATAAAGGACAATATCAACGGCTAGTTGGGAAATTGATATATCTGGCCCATACTAGACCAGACCTAGCTTATGCTGTTAGTGTTGTCAGTCAGTTTATGCACAATCCAAAGGAAAAACACATGCAGGCTGTAGAGAGAATTCTTCAGTATCTTAAAGGTACTCCTGGTAAAGGATTGTTATTCCGACGTGATGGCAATCTATCTTTAGAAGTCTACACAGATGCTGATTATGCTGGATCCATGACTGACCGTCGTTCTACCACTGGTTATTGCATGTTTCTTTGCGGTAACTTGGTGACATGGAGAAGTAAGAAACAAGATGTGGTTGCCAGATCAAGTGCAGAAGCTGAATTTCGAGCTATGGCTCAAGGCATTTGTGAGTTACTGTGGCTGAAAATTGTACTTGATGATCTCAAAATAAAATGTGAGGGACCTATGAAGCTGCTATGTGATAATAAGTCCGCTATTTGTATAGCTCATAATCCAGTTCAACATGATCGGACTAAACATATTGAGGTCGACCGCCATTTCATCAAAGAGAAACTTGATAGCGGGTTAATTACCACTCCATACATTCCCACTGGGCGTCAATTAGCTGATCTATTAACAAAGGGGCTTCCTACAGACAGATTTCAAGAACTTACTAGCAAGCTGGGAATGATAAATATCTATTCCTCAACTTGAGGGGGAGTGTTGTAAATAATATTGATTTAATTATTATTTAGTTTATTGTTGTATTGGGCCAAGCCCTTTGTTGTATTGGGCCAAGGCCTTTAGGTTAAAAGTATGTCACATATTCTCTATAAATAGAGAATCCCTTGTACACATTATTTACAATTCTAATATATATCAGAATACCCTTTTTCAAGTGTGATTGTGTGGTATGTCAGCAAATCAAGAGCTCAACTCAGGTTCCTTTTGGATTATTACATCCTTTACCAATTTTGGATGCCATATTTGATGATTTAACCCTTGATTTCATTACATGTCTTCCTCGATCAAATGGTTATGCTACTATATTAGTTGTAATTGATAGACTATCGAAGTATGGTCATTGTGGACCATTACCAATTTCATACACAGCAGCAACAGTAGCACAACTTTTTTGTAATATGGTGGTTAAGCTCCATGGTTTTCCTAGATCATTAGTTTCAGACAGAGATAAGGTATTCATGAGCAAATTTTGGCGTAAACTATTTCAATTGAGTGGTACAACATTGCATGCAAGCTCAACTTATCATCCTCAAACGGAGGTGACCAATCGATATGTTGAGCAATACTTGCGTGCCTTTTGTTCTGAACAGAACTCGACTTGGTCTCAGTTTCTGTGTTGGGCAGAACTACACTGCAATACCTCAGTGCATTCTGCCATTAATATGTCTCCATTTCAAGCTATGTATGGTAAGGCACCAACTCTTATTCCAGCGTACCAAAAAGATGAGGTGAAGATTGAGGCTGTGGATATGATGCTCCAGCAACGACAAGAGGTGCTTAATCATCTCAAATTACAGCTGCAACGTGCTCAACAAAGAATGAAGCATCAGGCTGATAAGCATCGTCAGGAAAGAAGCTTTAATGTAGGTGATCAAGTCTTGCTTAAGTTGCAGCCATACCGTCAGTTATCAGTAGCGAAGCAAACCAGTTACAAGCTGGCGAAGAGATATTTTGGCCCATTTAGAGTGGAAAAGGTGATTAATCCAGTTGCTTATAAATTGTCCTTACCTGAAGGAAGTTTGATACATTCAGTGTTCTATGTGTCAATCTTAAAACCATTCCATGGAACAAACGATGGGAGTTTTGAACCCTTACCGATATTGAGTGTAGATAACAGACCTGTGCAGAAACCAGTAGCAGTGTTAGCCTCAAGACAAATTTCGGTTAAAGGGAAGTTGATTAAGCAGTGTCTCGTTCAGTGGTCAGCAACTGTATCTGAGGATGCATCTTGGGAAAATATTTCAGAGCTTTGTAGCAATTATCCAGAATTAAACCTTGAGGACAAGGTTACTGTCGAAGGGAGGGCAGATGTTACAGCTACTGGAATATTGGTGAAGGATAGTAGGCCAAAGAGAGTGAGAGGCTTTCCTTCTTGGGCTATTGATCATGTACAATAATAATGGACAGTTGTACTTAAGGGTAGTTAGTTGCATATGTGACAAATAGTGCCACGTAGTTAGTTCCAATTCTGATGTGTGTAATAAGACTGTGTATATAAATACCAACCAAAGGGATGTATGAGCCTATTATTGAAAAGTGAATAAAAGTGTTGTTGACATATTCTCTGATATAAGTCCGCGTCTTGTATCAGTTTACAGGAATAAAATCATTAGATAAAGTTATAATAGTAAGATTCTAATCTTTGTTAAAAATATGGAGCTTCTTTTACATGTATCCATCCAAGATGTAAATGAAATTATTGAAATTCTCTCTCTCTCTCTTTTTAATTTTTTTACATGAGCAACTTCAAAGTATAACTTTCATTTGATCGTGTATCAATAACATAATTTTTTTACTAACTAATATTTAATTTTAATTTTAATAAAGTAATATCCTTTTATTTTATAATAAAATAATATATTATTCTATAAAATAATATTTTGTTATTTTTTAATATAATAATATCTTATAATTTTTTAATTTATATTTTACAGAATGCATTATGTCATTTTTAAAGTCTTAATAAGCTTGGTAACACAGATCAAGCCTTGTATTTTTAAAAAACAAACCAAACTAAATTTATAATTTGACTTGTATCAGGGTAGCAAATTAAGACAGATTGAAATGATTTATATAAACCTAACTCATTTAGATTAAAATCTCGTTTGACTTGACTTTACTTGTTTAGTCAATGTTAATAAACTCGGACCATCCAGACCGTGTTGACCCAAGAACTGATATAATGGTCATATAATCGGTTCGGGTAAAGCAGCATATCAGCCAAGCATTGGAACCGATGCAACCCGGCTGATTTTGGTGAAAACTGGTGACCGACCTAGTTTATAAAAAAAATTGTTTAAAAAAATATAAAGGATATCATTTTTTAAAATTCACAAATAATTTGTTTTCTTTTGAAATATTTAAGTAATTTGTTATTTGTTCACTTACATAAATTATGTATTTATAATAGTAATATTATTTTGGTTATGTATTATTCAAGAAATTTTGATTTAATTTATAAATGTCATCTACTAAACTTGAAACACTAGTATCACAAGTATTATATGTTTGTTTGATTTTTTGTTGAACAATGATATGTGATTTATTATTTTTTATATTAAAATATTTCAAATTGATATTAATTTTTTACAGATATTTGAATATGTTTTCCCTTTGCCTTTTTTTTGGTAAAATTCTTTGACACCGGTGTTAAATTTAAAGTTTGACACCTCATCTGAGAGTTGTTAGATAAAAAAAGATCAATAAATTTGCCTTGTAATCATATGACACAATTGATCTTTTTGGATCTAACGGCTCTTAGATGAGGTGTCAAACTTTAAATTTGACACCAGTGTTAAATGATCCTACTCTTTTTTTTTAATATATATTATAGATTTATGGAAATTGTTTTTCTTATGTTGCATAAGATAAAAACAATCTTCCTACGCTCACAAAAGAAAGATAGAGGAAAGAAAATAGAAAAAAAAGAAAAAAATTTAAAGTGAGTCTCACGTAAGATTTATGTGTATAAAAATATTATTTTATTTTATAGAACATAAGAAATTTTTTTCCTAAATTTATATATACTTATCAGATTAAGAGGTTGTTTGTATGGACTTTTGAAAAAAGTCCTTTTGATCACTTCCTTATTTTAAAAGTACTTTTTATAAAAGTTACAGCTATTTAGATTTTTTTAAAAATATTTGTTTTTTGAAAAAAATATTTGACTTTTGACTTCTGCTTTTCTTAAAAGCTAAAATTTTTAGCTTCCAAAAAAAGTAGATTTTTAGCTTTTTTTATGACTTCTGCTTTTTTTAAAAGCAAGCATCTAAATAGACTTTTTTCGAGAAGTGCTTTTTTTTCTTTAAAAAAACAGCTTTTGAAGAAAAAAAAGCCCATCCAAACGGGCTCTAAGTAATAGCCACTGATTAAACAAATGACTCGATAATCCATTAACGGGGCGGATTTAATAAGTACTGCATCGTTCGTTGCAAAAATACATAACATAACAATTGATGCCAAGCCAGCTGTACCAACAATTTTAAAATAATTCTGAAACTTTATAAATATGCTATTATAAAACTAAGGTTGTTTCGATTCAGTTAACCTGGACAAGGTTAGTCCAAGACTCAAAGGTTTTGACGCTTCTTATTCTATAAATTGCGTTGCCATGAAGAACTGTTACGGTTACCTCTCCAAAACAAACACCAACAATGGTTTCCTCCACCAAGGTATTCCTTTCTCTCAATTGCTTCTATTTCTTTTTATTTAATTTTTTTCTTTTCGCATATTCATAACATGGGATTTTATTTTATTCATTTTTCGGCCAATTAATTTAAATATATTATTATTTCTCAGTTGTCGATTGCAAACTATATCAATTATGATTTGCACAACATACTCGTCGTTTTATATTTTTATTATCTGATGCTGATACTGCCTTCTTATGTTCATTTATTTTTTTTGGTTAATCGTATGATTCTTTTTGTTTTGAGCTTCTTCTTTTGGATTTTGTAGTTTTTGTTTATGGCACAACTCTCTGAATGTGAAACATTAAATCACTTCTCAGGCTATTGCTTCAGACATCAATATATACATTTTTCCTTTGCTTTGTAGCAATACAACATATATTTTTATGGAAACACAGAAAAAAGCACAGAGAGTGGTCTATTTTTCCTAATTACTCTAGATTTTGATCAATAGCTCTAGGCTTTGGTTTTATTGGATATTTTGTCTGAGTCTGGGGTAGGTACTATGTTAAAATGGATTGGATCATGGATTTGGTGCAAGAATTAGATACTAACCATCCTTCTGCCCAGGGAAATTGTTTTATTTATCTATTGTCCGATTGCTAGGAAGCTTTGGAGTAGCTGTAAGGTTGCTACTTTGTGACCGAAGGTCACAGTTCGATTTTCGGAAACAGTCTTTTTTTAGAAATATGTAAGCGTAAGGCTGCGGACAATTGACCTTCACCCCTACTCGCAAAGTCAGGGAGACTTATGCGTTGTGGTTTTCCCTTTGCCTTTTATCTATTGTCCTATTGCTGGTGGCTCTTAGTTGAAGCTTCGTTATATGTTTTGATGGGAGTGGTGTGATTATATATTCAAAGTCAGTTGATTATTTTTAAAGAATTGTTCACTTTGTGTTGTGAGTACTGGTACATTTTATGTTGATCTTGTACTCAAATTGTCTATTTAGTTAGATGCTACAACTAGTCTACTATTACTTTTTGGTTGTGGTGAGGCTTGCATGAGTTCCTCGTTTAGAGTAATAGAAAAAGTAAGGGGAGTAAATCCTCAAATGCCGTCTTTCACAGGATCCCCGAGAGGAAGTCCTTGAAGCATGGTACATGGATGATAGTAATGAAGATCAAAGACTTCCCCATCACAAAGAACCCAAAGATTTTGTTTCATTGGACCAACTAGCTGGTAAGCTTCTATACAGCATGTGGTGGTTTTTTATCTTTAGATTGAGGGGTTTACACTCACATATTGGGATTTGTCATGTTAACAATGCAGAAATTGGAGTCCTTAGTTGGCGATTAGATGCTGATAACCATGAAACAGATCCGGAGCTAAAAAAGATCTGCGAGGAACGTGGTTATACGTACATGGTTTGTTATACTAATACTTTTTTACTTAGTTATGATTTACATGGTGATGGATGAATTATTTATCATAAGTGATAACATACATAAACAAATGCATATTTGAATAATGCATTGGTGATATCAAATATCTTCATTTTGATATTCTGTCTATGTTTATATTTGTTTAATGATTTGATCTGAGGCACAATTTTTTGGTGCAGGATGTTGTTGACATATGCCCAGAAAAGTTGCCAAATTATGAAGAGAAGATTAAAAATTTCTTTGAAGAACACCTTCACACTGATGAGGAGATTCGCTTTTGTGTTGCTGGAAGTGGTATGTGGAAATATTTTTCCCTTACTTTGATACATTCATTACCTACCATGTTAAGTTGCTAATATTTACTCTTTTTTCTGAAGGTTATTTTGATGTTCGGGATCACAATGATGCTTGGATTCGTGTATGGGTAAAGAAAGGAGGAATGATCATCTTACCTGCTGGAATTTATCATCGATTTACACTGGATGAGAGCAACTATATTAAGGTATTGATTAATGATTACATATTCCAGATTGTAGCTGTATTATTCCTTTAGCTGTTGATCTGTGCTCTTTCTGGAAGGCTTTTTGTGTCTCTAGTCTAGGGATCTTCTACTTTAATTGGTGATAGGCATCTGATTGTTGAAACTTTTTGTTAATTTCTTGTAGATATGTTCAAATGAAGATGTAAAATGAGATATAATATAATGCATGATTGTTTCATTTCACCTATTGAAATTAGTCTTAAAAAAATCTTTTTTGGATGAACAGACATTTGGAATGGCCGCTGATATCCTCGTGTATTTTGTTATTATGAATATGCAGGCTTTGCGATTGTTTGTTGGTGAACCAGTTTGGACTCCATATAATCGTCCTCATGATCATCTTCCTGCAAGGTATGGGTTATTATATGAGTTCAGTGGTCTGTGTGATAATAAAAAGGTGTTATATCAAACCTCATTTTATGGTTTTAATATGCAGAGAGCAATATATCAAGGCTTTTGTGGAAAAAGATGTTGATGTTGCCAACCAAGCTGTTGATATTGCTGCTGCCTAAGATGGGATGAAAAGGACTAAGGTTTTGCTGCTAAATAAGGATTGAAGAAAAATAATGGGAGTCTTTAGATAAAGATACCTCTCTATATGTTGTCTGTGTTATTGTCCCTTTAGCTTTGTTGTTCCACACTAAGTTAATGTCAGTGTTGTTTTTCTTGCTTCCCCTATGAAGATTACAATGTGTAAGTATTGTTATCATTTATCAGAACAGGGGACATAATAAGCATAGACATGATAGTTTGTTAATGTAATATTATGATCTTCTTTGGCTGCATTTGGAATTTGGCATCAAATGAGAACAAGTTCTAAGAGGGGAGACTTGAAATTCAATTGCAAGCGAATGCATAAAAAGTTGTGAAATCAGTTGCTAGACTCTGGTTATTCGGTCATAGTTTTGAGAGGTGTAAGCCCAACTGTCATAGAGGTGGCAAAGTGGGCAGAGCGTCATCAACCCGTCAAAAAATGAGCCAGCCCGCTATGTTCCGCTTTTGAAATTGAGCTGAAAAACTTGACCTGACCCACCCAGCACTGTTTGGCGAGCTGGGCGGGTTGGTCCGTCAGTCCGAGCCTATTTTATACTGACCCTTCTCACCTTGCCATCAACCCGCTAAAAAACGAACTCGCCCTGTCCCACCCCGCTTTTGAGATGGATTGTAAAACTCAGTCTGCCCTGCCCCATTTTACGAATGGGGTGGGTTGGCCCGCCGAGTCGAGCTCGTTTTGCCGACCCTACATTTAGGTAAAGGTTGTTAGATTTGAAATTTATTTTTAATAAATTAGAAAAAAAAAACCATATATTTTATTATATAAGCAAATTAAAAGTTTTCATTATTTTATAATGAAATAATTATTTGTTTAATTTTTTAGTATATGTTTGAAGACTTACAATAATATATAAGATAATGTACCTTCATAAACCTTTTAGATACTCATTTTCCAATACTATAATTTTAAGGGAATATATATATATATATATATATATATATATATATATATATATATATATATATATAGGGAAGGGATCATTTGACTCTATAGTAAGACTTATAAGTCTTACTCCCAATCTCAGCCGTTGATTTTCGTCCATCCAACGGCTATAATTTAGGGAGTTATATTAATTTTTTAATTATTAATTACACTATAAATGACAATCGTTGATTTCCGTCCATCAACGGCTGAGATTGGGAGTAAGACTTAAAAATCTTACTCTGGAGTCAAAAGAACCCTCCCCATATATATATATATATATATATATATATATATATATATAGGGATATGATCAACTTATACCGGTGTAAGAAAAATAATTCTTACATCAGATCCTAACCATTTATTTCTGTTATTGGGAATTAATAATTAATTAATTAATGAGACACAATAAATCTTAACCGTTAGATGCACGTAAATCAACGGTTAAGATCTGGTGTAAGATTTATTATTCTTACACTGGTGTAAGATGATCCTGATCCTGCCCCATATATATATATATATATATATATATGGGGTTTATATTTCTGCGGCGACTGTACATGCAACAATCAAATACTTGCCATATATATACGTGAAAGCATTAAATGTGGGGGATCATAACCATACATCTGTCGTTTTATGTAAATCAGCTGCAGAAATGATTTTACCTATATATATATATATATATATAGGGGAATGATATACTTACCACCAAAAAAGTTTACCACCCTTACAACTAACTTAATCACTGTTGATTTTCGTCAATCTAATGGTTATAATTTATTGGAAATTATTGGATCGCATTTATTAATAATTATTAATTCCTAATAAATTATAACCGTTAGATTGACAAAAATCAACGGTGATTAGGTTGGTTGTAAAGGTGGTAAACTTTTTTGGTGGTAAGTATATTCTGCCCCTATATATATAGGAAAAAGTATTAGTCATTTTAAATGACATAAAGTTATGTCATTTTAAGAGAGATAGACACATAATAATAATTTTTATTTAAAATTTAAATTTAAAAAAAAAACCAACCACTTTCTCTTCCATAATTTTCATTTCTTGTGTCTATCTCTCTCTTAGAATGACATAACTTGTGTCATTTAAAATGACAAACTTCAAATCCATATATATATATATATATATATATATATAGGGTCAGGATCATTTTACACCAGTGTAAATTACACTCTTAATCTTGTTCGTTGATCCCATTTATATCTAAGGGCTCAAATTTTTTAGTTATGTGAGCCATTGGATACAAGTGGATCAATGGTTAAGATTGAGTGTAAGACTTCTAACTCTTACACCGGTGTAAGAATATCCTGCCCATATATATATATATATATATATATATATATATATGGCTTATCATTTCTCAAGCTGCTGGAGATAACTTTATCTCCGGCTACTAAATCATAACTGATCGGACCAAATACAGTATGGACTGGCCTATATGAATTGAGCTCAATCACACACGGTTGAATCACCTTACGTCGTTGTTGGCCTGGGCCTAGTATTGCTGTCAGAATGATCTTGAGCTTTATCCTTCACGTTGGCACGTTGCACCAAATGGGGGGTACCTGCGAAGACACTCCGATGCTTAAGTTAGTATCAGAGGCAGGTGTGTTATGTTGTTAAAGTAAAGGATAATCGTACCCTGGTGGTATATCGTGTGTTTATATAGTAACTGGGATGCCGCCTTAGTTAAGGCGGCTTGGCTTCTGAGTGGCCAGCCTTGGGCTGCAGGATATTTAGGGAACCTGTGTAGCCTTATTTTCCAGAAGGTCTAGTAGTAGATTTAAGGCAAGCTGGAGCTGTTCGTTGTTTACTGGAGCTAAGGCGGGGTGGAGTTACCTTGAGCCTTAAGTTTACTTCTCTTAGAAGGTTTCATACGCAATATGAGAATCGAGTCTTGTGTGCCACGATGAGACCATCACGGCCTGTATGTCGCGATGGGGGATATCGCGTCTGGAACGCCGCGATGTGGGCATCGCGTCAATGCTTGTTCCTTGTGCTTCGGAAGGACTTGGGCTTTCCTTATGAGGCTTTGATTGGGCCTATATTTTATCCGGATCAATAACCGTCCAAAGATGGATCAATGGTGATGAAAGAAGGGAGAGAAAAAGGGAATCATAACCATTCAAAAGTGAATCAATTAATATAAATAAATAAATAAATAAAAACGACGTGGTTTTGGGATAGCCGGAGATAAATTTATCTCAAACTGCTTGAGAAATAATTTTCCCATATATATATATATACATATATATATATATATATATATATATATGAAAAAAAAAGTTTAATTTATGTTAAACGACTTTATTAGAGGAATAATAAATTTATTTAAGGAACAAGTAACATAAAAACAAAGTTGGAGCCATAAAAATTGCATTTGATGCAATGGTAGTTCATAAATATATTCCTTTCGTACGTTAATGAATGTGCATAAGTGAACAAAACAATACAAAATTTATCACCATATTTGTCACGAATTATCGATGTTGATATTACTCTTTTATATGTGTAATTTATGTATGTAAAACGCTAATAATAATAATAATAATATAAATCAATCACAAAATTATCATAAACAACACTACAAAATATATAACTCAATCACAAAATTATTATAATCAACAATCCAAAATATATAATTCAATCACAAATTATTATAAATAGCAGTCCATAAATATATAAATCAATCATAAATTATTACAAACACTCCAAAATATATAATTCAATCACAAATTATTATAAATAGCAGTCCAAAAATATATAAATCAATCATAAATTATTACAAACAATATTCCAAGAATATATAAATCAATCCAAGAATATATAAATCAATCATAATTATTATAAACTACACTCCAAAAATATATAAATCAATCATAAACTAAACTCCAGAAATACATAAATCAAACATAAATTATCATAAACTACACTCAAAATATATATAAAATCAATTATAAATTATCATAAACAAAATTCCAAGATATTCATATGGGAATATTTTCTTTAATGATTATTAGGTAAATAATATTTTTTTATTACCATATTAATTTTACCATTGGCATGGTAATATTTTTTCTATACATGGAGGCTTGATAAACCATTAGCCATTACTTGAAAATTTTAAAAAAAAAATCAAGTAGTGAAGGACCATAGAAAATTTAGAGAAAACTCTACAAAGAAAGAGGGTGAGAAAAAGAAAGGAATTTTAGAATGAGAAAGATTGATAATATAGAAAGTAAAAATTAATACTAAGGGTGAGGATAACTTCTTTCTTTCTTCTAAAATATAAACTTCATAGAAGTGTTATTTTGATATTTATTTTACTCTACCTAATCATTCCCTAATCGATCTCGAAGGGATAACACATTCAAATTTATTTTGTGATATTTATTTCAGTAATTTACAGTTCAACAAATTTAAAATTTCGCAATTTTATATTTCAAAAATTTATATTACAGCAATTTACATTTTTGTAATTTATATTTTCTCACTTTAGAATTATATACATAAATATATATGTATATTTACTGATTTATAATTCTATAATTTATATTTCAGTAATTTGTTATAAGCTCTAGTTTTTACCTAGATTTCATTGACATTTAAACAATATCAGGCAGAAGCCTTGAGTTTTTTTTTTCTCACTTGAGAACGAAATTTGAATTTGATTTTGGTGCACTGTTAGTGTAAAATATATGAACATTTTCATCCAGCCTTGTATTGTCATTTAAATTATCTAGTTTGACTACCATAAGAATTTCCTGATGAATAAAATTCAATATCATAGGTGTAAGCATAATATTGGATGAGAGTGTACAATATTTTGCTCTCACAATGAATCTGAGTTAGGCTCATCAAAAAATTAATTAATTGAAAAAGTTTGAATTAGTTAGATGGAATTAGTTGATCTTCTTCCATTATACTAAAAACATTTAAGCAATTATTTATGGTGTTGATTAAAATATAAGGAATTTAAATATATTCGTGAAAGGAGAAGTGTTTGTCATTTTAAAAGACATTACTTTACTTAATTTTAAGTGAAACGACCGCATTTTAGTACATATTTGATGATTTTTTATATTCTCTCACCTCCATAAAATTAGAGGGAGAGAGAAAGAGAATATTATGCAGCAAAGAGGCTGTAAAAAATCATTGAATATGCACGAAAATATGGTTATTTCACTTAAATAACACAAATTTGTCATTTAAAATGAAAAACGCTTTTCCCATTCATTAAATATTCACCTATATATTTTAAGTTACGCTACAGTTTGTGTCCCATGCATCTCACATTTTTAACAAGTGAAAAATACAAATATTGGGGTAACTAAAATAATGTGGTACCCAAAAATGTAGATGATAACATTTTTAAATATTTTTTGTTATGTGTTTAACATTATTCAATTGAGGTCAAAAAAGGATTCTAATTGAAAAATATGAATCCCACCTTGGGTAAGTAAATAGTTAAGAGGTGAAACTTCTCCACAAGTGTGTGTATCATAAGTAAAGTAAGGTGAAATGTGGATTCAACATATTTAACGCACACTAGTCCCACCTTGGGTAAGTAATAAGATAAGAAATATGAACTCTCTTTATAAAAGTAAGCTAATTCCTTATTGTGTTATAAGTTCTAGTCTTTACCTAGTTTTCGTTGATGTTTAAACAATATAGGGCAGAAGTCTTGAGTTTTTTTTCTCACTTGAGAACGAAACTTGAGTTTGATTTTGTTGCACTGTTAGTGTAAAATATTTGAACACTTTCATCTAGCCTTGTGTTGTCATTTAGTTATCTAGTTTGCCTACCATAAGAATTACATAATGAATAAAATTTAATATCCTAGGTGCAAGCACAATACTGGATGAGAGTGTACAATGTTTTGCACTCACATTGAGTCTGAATCAAGCTCATCAAAAATTTAATTAAGTGAAAAGTTTGAATTAGATAGATTAAATTGGTTGATCTTCTGCCATAATACTAACAACATCTAAGCAAATTTTTATGGTGTTGATTAAAATATATGGGATTTCAATATATTCGTGAAATGAAAAGTGTTTGTCATTTTAAAAGATATTATTTTACTTAATTTTAACTGAAACGACCGCGCATTTTAGTACATATTTGATGATTTTTTTTATATTCTCACACCTCTAAAAAATTAGAGGGAGAGAGGAAAAGAGTATTATGCAACAAAGATAATGTAAAAAAGCACTGGACATGCACCAGAATATGGTTGTTTCACTTAAATAACAAAATTTTGTGTCATTTAAAATGAAAAACACTTTTTCCATTCATGAAATATTCACTTATATATTTTAAGTTACGCTACATTTTGTGTCCCATGTATCTCACAATTTTTAACAAGTGATAAATACAAATATTGAGATTACTAAAATGATGTGGTACGCAAAAATGTAGATGATAACACTTGTAAATATTTTTTTATTACGTGTTTAACATTAGTCAATTGAGGTCAAATAAGGATTCTAGCTATTTGACAAATTCTAATCCCACCTTTGCTAAGTAAATAGGTAGGAGGTGAAACTTCTCCACAAGTGTGTTATCATAATTAAAGTAAGGTGAAATCTGAATTCAACATATTTAACGAACACTACTTCCACCTTTGGTAAGTAATAGGATAAGAAATGTGAACTCTCATTATAAAATAAAGCTAATTTCTTATTTTGTTATAACCTCTAGTCTTTACCTAGTTTTTACTGATGTTTAAACAATATAGGGCAGAAGGCTTGAGTTTTTTTTTCTCAATTGAGAACAAAACTTGAGTTTGATTTTGGTCCAATTTTAGTGTAAAATATTTGAACACTTTCATCCAGCCTTGGTGTTGATTAAAATATATGGGATTTCAATATATTCGTGAAAGGAGAAGTGTTTGTTATTTTAAAATACATTACTTTGCTTAATTTTAAGTGAAACGACAGCATTTTAGTACATATTTGATGATTTTTTATATTTTCTCACCTCTATAAAATTAGAGGGAGAGAGGAAGAGAGTATTATTCAGCAAAGAGAATGTAAAAAAATCACTGGATATGCACCAAAATATGGTTGTTTCACTTAAATAACAAAAATTTGTGTAATTTAAAAAGAAAAATTTCTTTTTCCATTCATGAAATATTTACTTATATATTTAAAGTTATGCTACATTTTGTGTCCCATGTATCTCACAATTTTTAACAAGTGAAAAATACAAATATTGGGGTAACTAAAATAATGTGGTACGCAGAAATGTAGATGATAACATTTTTAAATAATTTTTTGTAATGTGTTTAACATTAGTCAATTGAGGTCAAGAAAGGATTATATTTGACAAATACTAATCCCGCCTTGGGTAAATAAATATGTAAGAGGTTAAACTTCTCCAGAAGTGTGTGTCTCATAAGTAAAGTAAAGGTGAAATGTAAATTCAACATATTTAACGTACACTAGTCCCACCTTGGGTTAGTAATAGAATAAGAAATGTGAACTCTCTTTATAAAAGGAAGGTAATTCTTTATTGTGTTATAAGCTCTAGTCTTTACCTATTTTTCATTTATGTTGAGATGATATAGGGCAGAAGCCTTGATTTTTTTCTCACATGAATGAAACTTGAGTCTGATTTTGGTGCACCTTTAGTGTAAAATATTTGAACACTTACATCTTGCCTTGTGTTGTCATTTAAGTTATCTAATTTGACTACCATAAGAATTACTAAAACTCAATATTATAGGTGCAAGCACAATATTGAATGAGAGTGTACAACGTTTTACACTCACAATGAATATGAATCAAGCTCATAAAAAATTTAACTTCGTGAAAATGTTTGAATTAGTTAGATGAAATTAGTTGATCTTCGGCCTCCATACAAAACACATCTAAGAAATTATTTGTAGTGGAGATTAATATATATGGAATTTTGATATATTTGCGAAAGAAGAAGTGTTTGTTATTTTAAAAGGCATTACTTTAGTTAATTTTAACTAAAACGACCGCATTTTAGTACATATTTGATGAGAGTGTACAACGTTTTACACTCACAATGAATATGAATCAAGCTCATAAAAAATTTAACTTCGTGAAAATGTTTGAATTAGTTAGATGAAATTAGTTGATCTTCGGCCTCCATACAAAACACATCTAAGAAATTATTTGTAGTGGAGATTAAAATATATGGAATTTTGATATATTTGCGAAAGAAGAAGTGTTTGTTATTTTAAAAGGCATTACTTTAGTTAATTTTAACTAAAATTACCGCATTTTAGTACATATTTGATGATTTTTTATATTCTCTCACCTCAATAAAATTTGAGGAAGAGAAAAGAGAGTATTATGCAGAAAAGAGAATATAAAAAATTATTGAATATGCAACAAAATATTGTTGTTTCACCCAAATAACAAAAATTTGTTTCTTTTAAAATGACAGACGCTTTTTCCCATTCATGAAATATTCACAAACACACACACACACACACATATATATATATATATATGAAGTTAGCTACATTTTGTGTCCCATGTATCTCACAATTTTTAACAAGTGAAAAATACAAATATTGGGGTAACTAAAATAATGTGGTACACAAAAATGTAGATGATAACATTTTTAAATATTTTTTTGTGATGGTTTAACATTAGTTAATTGATGTCAAAAAAGGATTCGATTTGACAAATACTAATCCCACCTTGGGTAAATAAATAGGTAAGAGGTTAAACTTCTCCACAAGTGTGTGTATCTTAACTAAAGTAAGGTGAAATGTAAATTCAACATATTTAATGTACACTAGTCCCACCTTGGGTAAGTAACAGGATAAGAAATGTGAACTCTCTTTATAAAAGGAAGCTAATTCCTTATTGTGTTATAAGCTCTAGTCTTTACCTAGTTTTCATTGATGTTGAAACGATACAAGGCAGAAGCCTTGTTTTCTCACTTGAGAATGAAACTTGAGTTTGATTTTGGTGCACTAGTAGTGTAAAATATTTGAACACTTTCATCTAGCCTTGTGTTGTCATTTAAGTTATCTAATTATTTGACTTCCATAATAATTACCTGATGAATAAAATTCAATATCATAGGTGCAAGCACAATACTGGATGAGAGTGTATGTAATTCCCCAATTTAATATTCGGATTGTTAACTACATATGGACATACTATGCGCATCTAGCTAAGTTAAAGTAACGAAAGACTTAATAAAATTTCTAATTACCCGATGTAATTTCGCTGTATAACTTTTTCTTTTCAATTAACTTCTACTATTAATTATAATTATCTGTACAGTCTCATACATGTACAAATTGAAAATTAAATTCCAAGTGATCATAATCAATGACCAATCACTATCCGGATATGATAATTTATACCATTCCGTATAAAGTTTAACGGACAATATAACGGCTGTAAATTGGACTATACCAGGGATTAAATCCCACTGTTTTAATCTATTCCTAAAATACAGAAAAGTTTAACCAATATATATATATATATATATATATATATATATATATATATATATATATATATATATACACACTGAAAATGGCTCCGTGCCAATACAAAATAAAACTACTTGACTTGGTAAAACACACATAGGCAAACACATGCTTTTCAAAATGATTATCAACTATATACATGCATGATGATAATATACTTCATGCACTAACAAAACATGTCTACGTTGACATTCAAAATAGCTAAGTGCCCACTCCTCTAGAGTCCTATATCCTCATGAACTGGTCTTTTTCCCTTTGCGAGTTCTCCTACTGCTGATGTAGCTATAATTTAAATTACAGCCCCACGACGAGATGAGAAATGAATCCCGATAAGACTTTGGGTTTATGGAGTAGTCTTCACCCCAAGAGTTCACTCTCTGCATGAAAGGTCAGATATAAAGCATATAATACAACATGTAATTTTATTAGTATATTTTACTAATTATATCTCACTGACTGTATCTCATTGATTGTTTCGGAAGCCTTTATACTCCCTTATATCTCACTTTATATTATAGAAGATTTATACTTCCTTGCTTTATGATAATACGAAAGATTATACTCCTCTACTTTTTGTAATACGAAAGATTATACTTCCCTGTTTTTGTAAAACGGAAGATTTATACTTTCCTGCTTTTGTAATGTGGAAGATTTATACTTCCCTACTTTATATATAATTTAATAGTAATATATTATATAGCTAAAAACACATTTCTACGTCTTGATTACTTGATAAATCTTAATACTATGAAAGATTTATACTTTCGCTATCCGTCTTTATATTTTTACTATGGAAGATATGTACTTTCGCTAACCTTCTTTCTACTTGCCTACTTACGTTATATCACATCACAATATCAATGTACATAAATTAAACACATCATCAATGTACCTGTCTATATGAATGCACATGTACGCATCTATACTAAATATCTCACTGTTAATCATATATACAATTTAACCATCATCCTTTATGGACTTTGGTGGAACAAAAAAGACGAAGAAAATTTTGAAACCAAGAGCTTACCTGTCAGTGCTTTTATATTACGCTTACTTGGTATACAAGTAATTTTTGCAAAATTCATAGAATCCTGACTTGGAATCACCGTATTACCTGCTACACATTACAATACTTGTTTGCTAACTATACCTGATAATTTCATGCCATTCCACAAGTCATACTTAAATACCCACAACTTGACCTACATTTCCATAATATAAAACCTACTTAATCATATTACCAATTGAAGGTTCATCATACAATTTTATTTGAAACATAATTCAAATTTATTTCTAAATTCTATCATTAAACAACTTGATTTTTAACCCAATAAACCACTAAGTGGCCGAACCTTATAAGTCCCATTAACTCACATTTTTCATGCTTAATACTTGTAACTCTAAGTGCCATTACACCTTAAAACAAAACAATAACACCAAACATCATTTAATTATACAAAATAGTCCATAAAGCTGAATTTTCATAGCGAACAGTCTGCACTATAAAATACAAGAAATATCCATTTTAGATCCAATTGACTTGAAATTTTATATGTTGAACTAGACATGTGTGCCTTTAATTTGCAACAAACTTCACTCAATTTGGAATTCTACAATTCCAGATATAAATTTTTGAAAATAAGGCAGATTTGAGGTCTATATGTTCCACAAATTTTATACCACTTTCAATGATTCAAAACTAATTCAATCAACTCCATACCTATTAAATACCATGAATACATATCAAAACACAACATATACACATGATTTAAAATCATACATAACAACCCCCTTTTCATAAACCCTATTTAAAATTCAAGAATTTAAGCTAAAGAAAGGTAGTTAGTTACCTTAAACCACTCCTTGGTGCCTATTTTCTCAATTTCTCTTCAACAAGGCATGAAAACACCTCACTTCCCATGGATGGCAGCCATGAGGTCATAAAAAAGAGAGGAGAAAACATGAACATGTGAAGCTCCTCTCAAGGATTAAAAGCCATGGTTATGTTCTACTAGTTACAAGGATGATTTTCTCTCAAAGCGTCTATGAATTTTAGTAACTAGAGAAGCAAGTTCTCAAGCTCTTCCTTCCTTCACGGTGGTCACAGTTTTTAAAAGCATAAGAGTGCAGATTTTTGCTTCTTTAAAGAAGAAGAACCGACTAGCTAAGTGAGTAGGAAAAATCTAGTCTACTTTGTTGACTTCCAAGCTTTGTTTCTTGGTTAGCTTGCTTCCTATTGGTTGGCTTTATACACACTCTTTTCCCTCTCATCATGCGCTTATTTGGAGCCTTAGAAGACAAGGAGAAATCAGAATTTTGTTTCCAAAATATCTATAGAACATATTAACTAGTTAGCTTTTAAAATAACTTAGTTATATTTAATTCCATTGGCTAATTAAATCCATACTTTGTCATATTTTTGACAATTAACCTAAACATCATTAGATTAATCTAAAGATACCTTGACCCAATGAAATTCATCACTCAATTTAATTATGTCATCTAATTCAAGTTTAAAACTAGTTTTGCTTATTTTAAGTCACTTTGACTTATATTCATTCTTATTGTTTGATTTTTCTTAAACTTTGACTCATTTTTAATTATTAATCTAATCATCATTAGACTAATCCAAGATCATATTGAACACACTAAATTCTCTAAAGAATTTAATGATAACATCTAATTCAAGTTTTGACCACATCTAGTCTATTTTCCAAGTAATTCATGACTTTATCTATAATGACATATACGTCATGAATTCTCTTCATAAATATATTTATGTACTATATGATCTGCTTGGCATGAAATGTATCCCTGTGTATCTCCTTATCTCAATTTCATAATCAATGGATCATTACTTGACATAACTGATCACAATTTCTATAAACATGACTTGATCTACTGAACTCTTGCATGATTTCCTCATCAAAAATTTAATTAAGTGATAATGTTTGAATTAGTTAGATGAAATTAGTTTATCTTCTTCCATCATACTAACAACATCTAAGTAATCGTTTCTGGTGGTGATTAAAATATATGGAATTTCAATATATTCGTGAAAGGAGATATGTTTGTCATTTTAAAAGATATTACTTTACTTAATTTTAAGTGAAATGACCGCATTTTAGTACATATTTGATGATTTTTTATATTCTCCCACCTCCATAAAATTAGAGGGAGAGAGTATTATGAAGAAAAGAAAATGTAAAAAATCACTGAATTTGCACCCAAATATGCTTGTTTAACTTAAATAACAGAATTTTTTTCATTTAAAAGGAAAAATGTTTTTCCCATTCATGAAATATTCACCTATATATTTTATGTTATGCTTTATTTTGTGTACCATGCATCTCACAATTTTTATCACGTGAAAATTACAAATATTGGGGTAAGTAAAATAACGTGATACCCAGACAAGTAGATGATAACATTTTTGAATACTTTTTTATAAAGTGTTTAACATTAGTCAATTGAGGTCAAAAAAAGACTCTATTTGACAAATACTAATACCGCATTGGGTAAATAAATAGGTAAGAGGTTAAACTTCTCCACAAATGTGTGTATCATAAGTAAAGTAAGGTGAAATGTAGGTTCAACATAGTTAACGTACACTAGTCCCACCTTGTGTAAGTAATAGGATAAGAAATGTGGACTCTCTTTACAAATGGAAGGTAATTCCTTATTGTGTTATACGCTCTAGCATTTACCTATTTTTCATTGATGTTTAAACAATATATGGCAGAAGCCATGAGTTTGTTTTTTCTCACTTGAGAATGAAACTTGAGTTTGATTTTGGTGCACAATTAGTGTAAAATATTTGAACACTTTCATCCAGCCTTGTGTTGTCATTTAATTTATCTAATTTTACTACGATAAAAATTACCTGATGAATAAGATTCAATATCATAGGTGCAAGCACAATACTAGAATAGAATGTACAATGTTTTGCACTCATATTCAATCTTAATCAAGCTCATCAAAAATTTAATTAAGTGATAATGTTTGAGTTAGTTAGATAAAATTAGTTTATCTTCTGCCATTATACTAACAACATCTAAGTAATTGTATATTGTGGTGATTAAAATATATGGAATTTCAATACATTCGTGAAAGAAGAAGTGTTTGTTATTTTAAAAGATATTACTTTACTTAATTTTAAGTGAAATGACCGCATTTTAGTACATATTTGATGATTTTTTATATTCTCTCACCTCCATAAAATTAGAGGGAGAGAGTATTATGCAGCAAAGAGAATGTAAAAAATCACTGAATTTGCACCGAAATATGATTGTTTAACTTAAATAACACAATTTTTTCATTTAAAATTAAAAATATTTTTCCCATTCATGAAATATTCACCTATATATTTTAAGTTATGCTTCATTTTGTGTCCCATGCATCTCACAATTTTTATCAAGTGAAAATTACAAATATTGGGGTAACTAAAATAATGTGATACCGAGAAATGTAGATGATAACATTTTTAAATATTTTTTTGTGATGTTTTAACAATAGTTAACTGAGGTCCAAAAGGATTCTATTTGACAAATACTAATCCCACCTTTTGTAAGTAAATAGGTAAGATTTGAAACATCTCCACAAGTGTGTGTATCGTAAGTAAAGTAAGGTGAAATGTGGATTCAACATATTTATCGCATACTAGTTCCACTATAACACCTCGTATTTCTAAAACGTATAATTATATATGAAAATGTGGATTAAAGGATAGAATTAGGAAAAATCCTGAATTTAGAATCAAAATACGTAAAAAGGATAAAATGGTAATTTGTCAAACACGTAACCCTGGGAATGAAAAAATTAGTAGAAGGTCTCAAATGAAAAAACCAACACCGGAAATGGATTCAGAATGAAAAATTGAGTGGTTAGGCAAGTTTCTGGAAAAATGATGAATAATATTTTTACCAGGTAAAAATACCGCGATACAGTTGCACCGTAAAGCATGCTGAATGAATTTTGATCTTTAGGTTTGAAAATAAGTTATAAATGGTACATAGGACTACAAAATATGATTTCTGGTGAAAACTGATTGAAATTAGGGGTTTTGGGGAAGGGTGCCCACAACGCGCATAACAGCTTAAAATTGTGATTTCACCGAACGACCGGAAAACTTCAGATTCATCTGATCAAGGAGAATTAAAGGACATTGGTTAATGTTAAAAATTGAAGATTCTAAATAGTCTAGGAATTAATGGACGTTTAGTGGTTTAAGCGGGAGATTTGAATTAGTTTGAATCGCGTGAGGTGGCGGTGGGACCCACCCCACTTAAGCCACTTGTCCAAGTCACTATTCACCATCTTCCACAATCACTCTCTTTCTCTCTCAAACCTGCGGTTCATCAAGAAAAGGGGGGATTCTTCTTGGATTTTCTAAGTGATTTAGCCATCAAATTCAAGAAAGTTTGTCATCAAACTTCAAGTAAACGATCATCCAAACACAACCATGGTATTTTTAAGACTTGAAACTCATTGATTTGAGAGAAAAATCCCACCCAAGTCCGCGACCAAGTGTGAAGATTTGGTGTTCTTGGAGTTGATTGATTCTCCAATGCTTGGGTATTATGTGGAGGAGTCTCAGGCCTTGCTTGTGAGTAAATTTCCACACTTTTAATTGATTGAATCATTGGATTTAAATTTGAAGACCTAGGGCTTGCATGCTTGGATTGATATGGTTAGAGAGCTCAAATTGAAAATGTGTATTAGATAAAAGTAGCTTAGAATGATGTTTTATAGTGATTGAGCTCATAAAAATTATTGGTGAAAATTATTGGTAACTTAGGCAATTTTGATGTTGGTATGCATGCATGACTTTGTGAAATTGACATGCTGCAAGATTGTGTAATTGAGTTGTGAAATATTTGTATGAGTTAAGTATAGAATTGTATGATGTGTGGGAGTGTTGAATTGAATTGAAAACCCTTGAGTATGCTTCCATGTAGATTTCGGCCATGTGAGGGGATATAAGGTTGGATGATGTAAAATTCATGCAATTTGTATTTTGAGGCTTGGAGCTAAGTTTAAATAGGATGTGTGTTGGTGTGATGTATTTGAATTGGAAGAAAAATCATTGGATGTGTGTGTGTGTGAATTTCGGCCTAAATGAGGTAAATTGAAGAAAATGGTGTTGGGATGAGATTGAATGGGATTAAGGGCTTGAATTGGTGTTGGGTTGAGCTGGTGAAGCCATAGGAACCTTGTAATAAAATGTAGAACATGACTTGGCATTTGAGGCCATTTAGCCGAACCTATGCTTGTGTGGGGAGGGATCTTCGGTGCTTTGTATTTTGATTGGTTGCACCAATGTGTTGATGATCCTTGTGTGATCATTATAGGTTGCCTCCCACAGACGTGAACTTGGAACGGTGAGCTTGGTGGGTTGCCTTTGGTCCTTGGCCAAAAGGATTGTGGTAAGTATTTATGTAAAAATTCATGAATGCTTGAGTAACCGAGTTAATGTGGTCATATGATTATAATTGATATGGGAATGACCTATATGTAGGCATTTCTTGTTGAACCAAGCTCGGTGGTATTTTGCTTTGGAGCTACCAAGAGAGGGAGCTTCCATCAGGTAATCCCTTGGTACTAGGGTTAGTCCCCGTCTGTGCTCCACATGCCCCTTGGGGGTAGTGGTAGAAGGTGTATGTTGATAGTGTATTATAACATGCTCATGCATATATGTATGTATAGTGGGTACATAGGATGTACTGTGTCCCTGGCCAGTAGACTGTTGGCTTCGGGCGTTACAGACTTCCACTGGATAGGTCTTCGTGAGGGAGTTCCAGTTGACCTGGGATCATGGGGTGTCATCCGTTGAGGAGCACTCTAGAAAAGTCTCGGGTGTATATGGATGGAGGGTGCCTTGGTTGATGTTTTGGGAACACTTCCTTGGATGAGAACTCGTAGGCTATATGTCAAGGCCAATAGGTCGGATGTTGCGTGGCTTTGGCATCGACCATTCCAGCTTCATCGTATTTTTACTCTCTACACATCTCTACTTCACTAAATCCCTTGCGTTATCCCTCTTTGGTTGTTGTAATATAGTATTGATTTACATCTGAGTGAGCCATTGGTGGGAGTAATCTCCAGAACCTCTGGGTTACTGAGATATATTCGTATACCTCACACTGTTTGGGGACTT